TCAGGGTCCCTCACCCCACCCGGGCACCGGCCCCCTCATCCCGCGCCCACGCCACCGCTGCTGCTGCCACGGTCACACAGCGACCCCGGCATCGCCTCCTCCAGCAACACTGGTGAGTACCCCCCGCCCCGCAAGGTTCAGGAAGGGGAGGCGCTGGGAGTGAAGGACCAGCGATGGCCATCAGGGTCTGGAATGGTTGAGATCCCAGAAGAAGATGAAAGAGCGAGTTCAGTCCCGCGAGTGCTCGCCTCCTAGAAACACGGCCTCCATAGCTTTGGGCTGAAAGAGGATTTGTTTTTGAAACCCAAACCCACAGCTCCCAGCTTGGGCCAGCCACCAAGCCTCAGGTTCTTACCTGCAAAGCAGGCACAACAATAGTCCCTCCACCCTCGGCTGCATGCGAGTTACTGAGAAGTGAGGTGCTGCGAGTCAATGCTGAGCACAGGCCGTGCTCATGATCACCATCGTGTGCCAGGCACGGGGGAGGATGTCGCTGTGAGCGATACCGCCTTGGTGAATGGTACCACCGGTGGGCAGAGACGATGCCCCCTGGGTTGGGGATGGGGTGTGGGAGCTGTGAAAGCTCCTCTGGGCTTGCATTCTCACAGGAGGGTGGTAGGCTGGGCAGGTGTGTCCATTGAGCAAGGCCCTGTCTGGCTCTCCCTCCACAGCTGACTTCAGGGACCTTTATACCAAAGTGTTTGAGGAAGAAGCTGCTTCTGTTTCCTCTGCAGATACAGGTCAGGCGTGTGGTTAGTGCTCGGGGGCTGGGGGCTGGGGGCGTGCTGCCTGGCCCTCTCTGCACCTCCCATTCCACCCATTCATATTCTCTCTCTCTCTCTCTCTCTCTCTCTCTCCAGGGCTCTGCTCTGAAGCCTGCCTCTTCCATCTAGCCCGCTGCCCTTCCCCCAAGTTGCTACGTGCTCATTCAGCCGGGAAACGGCGCCCTGTTCCCACCTACCAGAAGGTCCCCTTGCCCTCGGGCCCTACACCTGCCCACTCCCTGGGGGACCTGAAGGGCAGCTGGCCGGGCCGGGCCTTGGTCACCCGTTTCCTCCAGATGTCCAGGAAGACCCCGGACCCCAGTGGGAACGGAGCCCATGGGCATAAGCAGGTAGGCATTAGGGGAGCCTGGGAAGATGCCCAGGAAAGCCTGGGGCTTCGGGCTGGGCCACATGGATGTCCTCTCCTGTGTCCCCTTCAGGTGCCCCGGAGCCGGTGGGGACGGCCAGGCCGAGAGAGTCTCCATCTTAGAAGCTGCGGGGATCTGAGCTCCGGCTCCTCCCTGCGGCGCCTCCTGTCTGGCCGCAGGCTGGAGCGGGGTACTCGCCCCCACAGCCTCAGCCTCAATGGGGGCACCCGGGAGACAGGGCTCTGATGTGGGCTTCTTGCTGCATTGAACAGATCCAGGTGAATGCTGGGGCTACAGGCCCCAGCTGGTTGGGACCAGCAGCCTCCAGCCTTCCCTTGCACTGGCTGACACAGAGAGAAACTCGCTGTATACCCACTGTTACTCCTTTCTCTCCTACCTCGGGCCCCTGCTGCTTGTCTCTGCTTCTCTGGCCTGGGAGAGCTTCTGTCCTATACTGCATGGGTGTTCAGGCTGTGGGGGAGATACCCTGCTTACAGCACTGGAGGAAGAAAATAATCAAGTCCTGCCCCACCCCCCAACCCCCAGCATGAGAGTAACTCTCTCTGATTTGTCAGGGGCCCTATGGCCAGGGCAAGGCCTGCCCAGGGTGTTGAAGCCTAAGGGGCTGTGTGCCTATACAACTGGGTGGTGAAGCATGAAGAGTCATAAAAACCTGGGTGGCCTCCCAGCTCTGCCACCTCTAGCTGCATGACCTTGGGCAAGTTATTTAACCTCAGTGTCCTGACCTGTAAAACACTGCGAGGGCAAATGTTTGTAAAACCCTTAACACACTGTAAGCCTTCAATAAATTTCAATTTCCCCCTTCCCTTCTGGATTATTTTTTATCATCAATGAAATTTGTTCTAGTGTCTCTTACAGATAAAACTCCCTCAAGACTGACATTCCTTTCAGCTGCCACACTGTATCTCTGCTCCTTTTCATAGCAGAATGTTTTCTCTTCCTTCCCTGCACTCCACTACCGATTCCCAGGCGCGGCTCTTGATAAAGTTTTCAGCAACCAAGAAGTGGCCATTTCTCTGCCTGCTGCTCAAACTCTAACAGGCCTTTACCCAGAAAATCGGCATCTTTCTTCTTGACTTTTTCCCTTTCTTGTCTTAAAAAAATACCATGTTCTCCTATTTTTTCCTCCTACTTTACCCTCTTGGTATCCTTTGAAGCCTTTACACCAGCGGTTCTCAACCTGTGGGTCGCGACCCCTTGGCGGTCGAACGACCCTTTCACAGGGGTCGCCTAAGACCATCCTGCATATCAGATATTTACATTACGATTCATAACAGTAGCAACATTACAGTTAAGAAGTAGCAACGAAAATAATTTTATGGTTGGGTCACAGCATGAGGAACTGTATTTAAAGGGCCAGAAGGTTGAGAACCACTGCTTTACACCTCTGCTGGACGGATTAACACGGGAAGGCCCCAGGGCTCTCCCCTCAGCCCTTTTCTACTTTCACTGTCCTGTAGCTTAAATACCATCCAGGTGTCCATGGATAACTCCCACCTTGACCTCTCCATGGGCTCAGACCTCCAACTTGACATCTCTGCTTGGATGTCTAATGGGGTCTCAGCCTCAACATGGCCACAACGGAACTCCTGATTCCCACCTCCAGCACCTGGCCCACTTCCACTGTTCCATCTCACCAAGTGGCACCGCCACCCAGGTGCATATTCCAAAAGCTTGGGACTCAACCTGATTTCTTCTTCTCCCTCATCCATCACACCCAATCCTATTCTGAACTCATCCATGTCTCACCAGCTACTCAGCTCACGTCACCGTGTCTGCCAGCATCTGAATGGATTTATTTCCTTTCTTCCTAACACTCAGTTCTCCTCCCAGCAAAGTAAGAAGTCATGTCACATCAAGATTCCACCCAAACCTAATGTCTTCCCATTGTATTTAGAATAATCGCCAAACTTCTTCCCAGACTACAGACAGGTAAAACCTGGTCTGCTTTGCACAGGGCCTTCTCACCTGCTTTTCCCCAAGCATTAAACGCTGGGACCCAGGGCTGTTGCCTTCACGTAAGCCTAATTCACCTTCTCGTTGAGCAACCTCCACTCACTTTATCACACTGTCATGTTGTTTTGAGCACTTATCACGAGCTAAAATTATCTTGTTTTTGTCTGTTGTCCCATAAAATGTAAGCTCCAGAAAGCAGGGACTTGCTCATTGCACTGGGCCTAACACTTAGTAGGTCCTCAAGAAACTCAAGTTACTTAAATGGCAGAGTGGGGCCTTGAAAGCAGCTTTGGGGCCCTATGGGAAGGAAGGGAGGAGGAAGGGGCACTGTCCGCAGATGGCGTGAGGCCGCAAGACTCCTTGAATAATTCACCATCATAACAGCCCCGCCTCAGGGAGGGCTGGGGTGCGGCCAGGACGACACAATAAGGTGGATTGGGATTCCCAACGGGGCAGTTTCTGGGCGCTGAATGGCTGCTATCCGGAGGCTCCTAGAGGAGGAAGCTCACGAATCTTGTTTGTTCTGGATTCATTGAGGGAATTCTATCTCCCTTCCCCACCACACCCGCTCGCTTTATATTGGGGGGCAGGCTCCTGGGCCGAGGCGCATGCGCGCTTGGTGACTCCCGCTCCCTCTTTCCCGTAGACCCCCAAATACGCTTGCGCCCCATCTGGGTTCCCACTGGTCAGGGAGAGCCGTCGGAGGACCAATAAGGCGTGCGGAAGGGGCCTGCGTCCCGCCTTCTGGCCATTAGAGGTGCACCTTCCT